AGACAAGGGTAAGCAAGGGGTGGAAACAAGTAAGGCAGAAGATCCACTGGCTGGGTGGGGGGTGCTAGGCGCCTGATGTGAACAGGCTCAGACTTTGGCCTGAAGGAGCTGGGAGCACAAGAAGGGGGTGATAGGGCAGTATGCCGCCTGGAAGAGATTGAGGGGCAGGGCGGGGGCTGCCAGAAAAGTGGCTGTTGCAGAGTGAGGGAGACAGGGAACTTGGGAGAAAAGTGGACAGGACTCTGGCAGGGCGAAGCCACAGGGCTTGGTGGGTGATGCAAAGTGGGAGAGGGGGAGGAGTTCGCAGGGGGAACACTGGGGAGGGAACTGGAGAAAGGGGCTAAGGAAAGGTTTCAACTTGAACATGTTTGTCTGGGTGTCAAGTGTGCAGAGTGGACCTCAGGAGTGCACTCACTAGGTTGCTTTCAGCTTTGGGGGTTCACCAGCTCTCAGGAGTTTCCTCTGGGGCTCGCAGAAGGGCCTGGGGAGTGAGGAAGTGCCGAAAACTCAGGGCCAACCCTACAGAAGTCAGAAGATCAGGACCAAGAAGGAAAGCGGGGGTCAGGGGTGGGTGGGGGGAGAATGAAAGCAGGCCAGGAAGTAAAAAGGCCATGGAAGAGATGCCCAGTTCACCATTGGGCACACACACCCTCGCCCCCTAGGCAAAGGAGACTGCGCTTTATCTGTTGGTAGGGGGTTCGGCACCCTAGGTGTCCCCGACACTCCTGTCAGCACAGTATTAAGAAAGCCACGTCCAGGGCTCCAGGCCTACCCTCCTGCTCGCCCAGAGGCTCGCCCCCTCCTCTGGGAAGCCCTCCACCACCGAGAGCACACCACCACCAGCCACGCACTGCAGTCCCGAAGGTGGCTGCAGCCCCTGCTTCTGCGCCCGGGACCTGGTGGTCCCCTCCGCGAGCCGTGTGGCCGAAGGCTGTGACTGGGCTGCGAGGCTCCCCCTCCCCTGGGGCGGTCCGGCTGCAGGGCCTCGCCAAGCCGCGGGCATCGCCCCCTTGCCGCCCCCTCCAAACCCGGGGCTGTGGGTCCCTCACCGCACGCGGCCCACATCCCCCTTCTTGCAGCTGGCAAAGAGGTCGCTGGTGTCCATGACGCGGAAACTCCGGACCGAATTCGGGGCGGCGGCGCGCCCCGGCGGATGTCAACAAGGGCGCCCGCCCCGCCCGCCCGCGCTCCGCAGCGGCGCCTGGCGCCCGGAGGACCGACCACTCCGCCCAGAGCCCGAGCCGGGCGCCGCTCGCTCGCCTGGCAGCACCCAGGGGGGCCCGGAGCTCGGCGCCACGTGCTCTCAGACCAAAGGCCACCCACAACTCAGCCCTCCCTGCCCGCAAAGCTTTATCCCTTCACACCATCCCACCCCCACCTAACACTTACTCCTCCCCTTGTCAAACAGGTGGTGGCCCTCGCCCCGGCCATCCACTTCCTCCAGCATCACCCCGTTCCCCACCCCACCCCCCATC